AAGTGAAGAGGGAGTCTGTCCGATCAATCTAAACAAATTCCAGCAATTTTTCAAATTGTCAAGATTTTTTAAAGACATTTTCAATGGATTGAAATTGACAACAAAGAACCTAGGCACCACAAAAAACATCAAAAACCACCCTTTGATGCACACGAAAGTCTGTACAGAGACAAAGTGGACCAAGCGTTGGTTACTGTCATGTCAACTTACCTATTCTTTTCAATGACTCCATAGACTTCTTTGCTTATGTCAAGAACATTTCTGGGCCAAGTTCCTGCAATCATATGAAACGGTACATTTAGCGCTGATCAACTATTAACTACACTACTTTTAAATGCCTCTCCCCTCATACTCTAAATGACCATGGTCTTTGAAATAACTAATTTGGTACTGGATATGATTCAAGCATTAAGTGTACGGAACCCAGATACCTCTTCTACAATGAGGACAGTAGTGGATAGATTGATTGTTTATAGGATTACACAAATAGAGCTGAAACCCTAATTTTTGACCATGAAAGTCCGCACCCCAAACAGAAGTAATACATTTTGCTGACAGCTCACCCATTTGTAAATGACCCACACAAGTATTTAGCAAACTGCATGGAATGGAGGAGTGTACCCATTCAACACGTTTTTGACAAAGCTTACAGTGAGCCAAGTTTACAAGTTTACAAAACGGGCATCATTTACTCTGCTCAAAAAATACCTGACAAATTGTGTGAGTAAAAATGCACCACACTAACCTCCTACAATAACCAATATCGTGAATAGAACAATTCAATAATCCGGATCGGAAACATTGAAGCACTATACCTTGCGATTAATATCGAAAACTGGCGCTGTTCACTATTAAATTCCGATTAAAATACTGTGATACATTAAATGAGGACGAATTATCGGCATTGAGCAGAAGACGCCGATGTTCACTGTTTGTGTTTACGTTTCCCTAGTGGGGTAGGGGTGAGTGGGTGAGTAGGAGAGACTGTTTTTGGCCACAAAAATGTGGCAACAAAACCGGCGGCCAGAGTCAGAACATAAAAAATACTTGTTCCCACTTAAAATCTTTTTAGCTGTCAGCGACAGCATGGCCATGGCTCAGTCGGTAGCGCGCCCGCCCGGAGCGCGGGAGGCGGGAGGTCGGCGGTTCGGGTCCCCGTCAGACTGTAATTTTTCTCAGGCCACCAAATTTCAAATGGACTTTAAACCCGTCATTTCACCACGCCCCTCTCGTGGAGTGTTACCGTCCTGGTTAAACTGCGTCGAAGGTGGCAAATAATTCGGCTCTGGCCGGGGTTCGACTCACGCGGCGAAAGCGGGGGCCGTGGGAATTCCCTGGTGCCTGGCACCTTGCTGTGGTGGCGGGTGTACTAATAAGTACAGTTTAAGCAACGTACACGTCAACCGTCTCACAAACCCCGGAAGTATGTTCTGACTAACTGTCGTTCGGCTGTTCCCGCGATCACAGAAGTCTTCCTGCGGTGGGATGAGGAAAGTACTACCCCATTTTTTGTTATTTTGTGTTTTTGTTTTTTTTGGGGTTGGGGGAGAGGGGCGTCAGCATTTGCGACGCCGAGCGAACTTATTTCTACAGTGGGTTCTGAGAAATTGCCTGTGGCCGTGGAACAACTTAATGGAGGACCAATAACTGACCAGCCTACCCACCTGCAGTGCAGACTTCCCTCTCTTGTAAGGGTGTGGGTTGATTGGGGAGTGATGAAGAAGAACAAGATATTTTAAGATGGGCTATGTTTTATTTAACACACTGAATGCAATAATTGTGAAATGATTCATTATGTTTATTTGGAACGTTTCCGTTCTTTATCACAGTTAAAAATTTGATTGGCAAATGAGCCTCTGAAATGTAGATACAAAGATTAATAATAATAATAATTATAATAATCATAATAATAATAATAATAATAATAATTAGGTAACTGTCATAGCAATGACATTCATTTTAACCAACAATAATGAACGAGATAAAAAGAGACATATAGAACCTAATTTCAATATACAGTACTTTGAAAAATAAACAAACAAAAAGGCAAAAGTACAATAAACAAAATTCAATGAACAAATTGGTGAAAGCGATGGGAAATGACAATAGAATGAGTCCTACAAAAATGCGATATGGTACATCTAAACGTAGTATCAGTGATTACCACTTAGAGTAATGAATAATTTAACAACATTCACAGTATTAATACTTAAATTTTAACTCAACTATTCCTTTTTTCGTTGATTCTATAGGGTGGGAAGTATAATGGAAACGGGACAAGGACCAAGGAGGTTAAAATTAGAATGAATACAAAATCAGGGCACATCTACTTGAAGTCATTATTTACAAAGTGCTGACTGTCTGCTCATGAGGAGTAGTCTACATGCAGGTACTTCCTGGAAACTCCTAGTTTATTCCCTAAACATTGTGCCTTTACTGAGGCATATTATCACTACTGTTGGGCTACTATCAAAGAAATTGTACAGAAATATTAACACAAGAATGGTACAGATGTATAAAAGATTTTTCACAACAAAAACATAATAATATTATATCTCTATAATCTTCTGTAAATTTATAATTGGAAGTACTTTTTCAATTTGTCTTGTTTAAAACAATGACTTTGTTTGGCTCAATTTCTTTATCTACATCCCTGCTCCTTGTTTGGCAGAGTATCGTCTACAAAACAGATATCAGTCGTCAGGAAGACAGCCAGCAGGGCAAAGAACTCAACAACAAAATAATCATGCAAGACCAGTAGTCAGAAATGACTAAATAAACAAAACAATAACCTTTGGAAACAAGAAAATTTCCCAACAAAAATAAAAACAAATTATACAACAGGCACAGTTGCATTTTAAACACAACTGCTATCTTTGTACATTCTCTTCTACTCATATTCACCTACATGTTGAACAAATTTACATGTATGAATTAGTTTTGGAGTTGAAACATTTGTACGTCTAAAGGGTGATAAACGTACTATTTGGTCTTTGTACATTTAAAATTATCTAACACGTGTGCCAAACGCACGAGGTCACAGCTTAACCGCCAGGCGCTGGTTGATGACTGCGTCATGATTTCAAACGTCCAAAGGCAACCAGGCGCCCCTCTAGTGCGAGGCGAGGGCGCTCACCACTTGCTAGTACTGAGTACTAACAAGCTTCAATTGTCACTCACACATTTAAATCACAAATGGTATCCACCAAATGAAGTCCCAGCTTGGCTAAGAATTCGGGATACACACTAAGACAGGGTACACTCACAATAACTAAAACTAGTATCATAACTTTCAAACTTTTTCACACGCATCCGCGCAGCTAACACAACACACAGCAACGCTTCTGATATGGTATTTTCTTTTTGAGCGTAATGCTCGTTTTCTGCGGATGCACTGCGGAAAACGTGCCCTTGAAAGAAAGAAAAATTTTTGGTTTTGTACGGCTTCCGATATTATATCTCCAATAGTGACAGTGTCTACAATTGTGATGCAGTATTGGAAGGCCAAATCAGTTCTCCCAGTCTAACAAACACTAGGTCTCAGTATCTTAAATAATGAAAATAAATTACACACTCCACTGTCTTCTGTTGTTCATTGATACACATTGCAGCTACGATTTGGTACATTGAGATACATATGTGAAGACTGGCACAGACACGCATGACCGCGTACAGATTTGCCTGAACACTTGTACGCGGGCACGCGTGCCGGGACCTTCAGGAGGTAAAAGGCAATACAACATACAGGAAGGTAAGGCAGCAAAGGAACACAGGAAACAGCCAGGTACACCATTTTATACATTGATTCAAACCAAAGACTAGTGTCGAATCATTGCACCTTCAGCTGACCGCAGACCCTTGAACTATCCTCACAATCCTCTAAAACAAATTAAGTATACAATAGAATTAAATAATTTTATAAATACTTTAAAGAAAAATAAAAAAGAACAAAGTAATAATCTTTTCCTAAAATCGATTGGGGCTTTCACAGTGGTTTTGACTACACCTAGCTGAGGGCGGGCTCTGCGTCCGTATGGACAGGTGAGCTCGAAGGGGACGGCCGCCCGTCCCTGTCCTCGTCCACGCCATCGTCCACAAGGCCGCGTCGCCTTTCCTGGGGCTCGTGCTCGTCCTGGCTGGCCTGCGACGGGGAGCCTCGACCACCGTCCACTTCCATGTCGTCGGCATCGTCCTCGCCGTCATCCGCGTCACCCTGCAGGGGTGACCCTCGCGGGGACGACGCGGGGTGCGGCGCCACGTTGCGAGGTGACATGGCGTCATCGCTATCCATGGCATCGTCGTGCTCTGCGTTGAAGCGCTCCGTGTCCATGACTGCGGTGGGCTCGACCCTCACGGTCTCCTCCTCGGCACGGATCTTGTAGTCGTCGGTCTGCATCACGCACACACCGTTGATAATGACCTCTTTGTCCTTGGACTCCTGCCAGTCGGGGTTGACCCACTGCGGCGCGGCGGGCTTCCGTCTGGAGCTGGAGGATCTGGGCGCCCCCGACCCCGAGGAGGGCGAGGGGGTGGTGAGGCCTGCCAGCCCTGCGAGCCCCGCGAGCAGCGCCTGCTGGTCGGGCTTGTGCGGCGTGCGTCTCGATAGGTCAGAGGCCGAGTCCTCGGACCCGTTGTTGGAGATGGCGTCGTCCTCGTCGTCATCGCTCTCGCGCTTGATGGACAGGTCCAGGCCGTTGAAGTCCTTGGGCTCGGGTCCGGCGAGGCCGGCGAAGCCCGCGGCGGCCGCGGCGGGGAGGAGGCCACGAGAGATGAGCGCCGCCAGGTTGGCGTTGCCGGCGAAGTAGGGTGGGTAAGGCAGCGGCAGCCCGGCGCCGAGGCCGGCTCCGAGGCCAGCACCGAGTCCGGCGCCGAGGCCAGCCCCCACGCCACCGAGCCGCTCCTTCTGCAGCTCCATCAGCCGCTGGTTCAGCAGCATCCGGAAGCGCACGGGGTCGAACGTCTGGCCACCGGGGGAGGCCTGCTCTCGGGGGCTGGGGGAGGCGGGGCTGTGCGGCACCTGCTGCTTCAGCCTCATGCGGTGGTTGTGGAACCAGTTGGTGATGGTGCGCGAGGACAGCGACAGCTCGTTGGCCAGGAACTCGATGGTGCCGACGTTGGGGTACGAGTCGAGGGCGAAGGCCAGGCGCAGGGCCTCCTTCTGCTCCTCGCTGAAGAGCACGCGCTGCTTCTTGGCCGGCGGCCCGGGCGAGGTCGAGTGGTAGAACTCGCTCGTGTCGTTGGAGGACGTGTCGGACGAGTTGTCGCCGGGGGTGGAGGACGCGGCCGAGTTGTTGACGCCGGAGCCGCGGCGCCGCTTGGACGCCTCGCGCCGCTCGTTGCGGAGGGCCTGCAGCCGGTCGATGTTGAGCGGGTCGGACAGCCACAGCTGCATGCGGATGAAGGGCTCCCGGCCCTTGATGCTCAGCATGTGCCACGGCTTGGGCTTGGACAGCAGCTCGGACACGGAGCCCTGCGACAGTCCCAGCACCACCTCGCCAAAGATCTGGAAAGAGTGACGGATTAGATCAGTTGGCTCAAACTTTGATTGTACGGTGTTAAGATGTGGCGAGATGAGGCTTACCTTCTGGCCAATGTTGTTGGCGAGTAGGGTCTCCTTAATCTTGGTGGTGATGGTTTGGGTGTCGAGGTCCGAGGTGAGCGCGGCCATCTCGTACACGGAGGGCGCGAGGTGGGGCAGGCCGCGGAGCTGTGAGGGCGAGGGCCCGCGGTGCTGGTCGGCGGCCGCGCGCTGCTGGTCGGCGTTGCGCTCCCGCTGCTCCCGCTCGCGCTCCCTCTGCTCCCGCTCGCGCTGCTCCCGCTCGCGGGCCTGGTCACGCTGCTCGCGCTGAGCCTCCCGCTGGGCCTGCGCCTCGCGCTGCTGCTCGCGCTGCTGCGGCGTGGTGGTGCGCGGCGGGCCCTGCGCCTGCTCGTGTCCGGGGAGGTGGTGGCCGCCGAGGCGCGGGTGCGAGGGCGGCGAGCCCAGCAGGGGCGGCGGCGGCGGCGCCAGCGCCTGTCCGGGGTGGAGGCCTGGGTGGCCAGGGTGGCCCGGGTGTCCCGGGTGCGCGCCGTGGTGGACGCCCGGGTGCGCGGCCATGTGCTGCAGCAGCGCCGCCTTGGAGTGCGCGTGCTGGTCGCTGAGCCGGCTGAGCATGTCCTCCGGCAGGTTGGCGAGCCGCGAGGCGGCGGGGTGCGACCGCGACGAGGGGATCGCTGCAAGCACAAGAGGAGGAGAACATGAGCACAAGTCCGGGGCAGGTCGAGCCGAGCTGAGCAGAGCCCGAGCCTCGACAAAAGGATCGGCAATCATAAATTCATGACGCGGACGCTGTGGGGCCCCGTGCTGCCCCGGGCGGTGCGCGACGCGGTGGCGACGGCAGGACATCAACGGCGCATTGTTTCCGTGATATATCGCGGTATGGCGCGTCGCGACGCCTTCAGCGGCCCCGGGCGTGGCGGGGCGAGGCGGGGCGGGGAAAATAACATGCCGAGCATCGCACAGCATCAGCAACAAAACCAACACCGGACAAAGGGCGACCGAGACCGACACCTTTCTGCAGCTGATACGGCCCCATTGACTGCGAGGCAAAAAGGAAGTCCAAAATCTCCCCGCCCGCCCCGCTACGTTCGCCGGGATGTCCGTCCTATTGTCGTCATTAATTGATCACCGGCCCCGGGACAGTAACGGCGGCGCCGAGCGCCGCTCAGCTACGCGTTGCACAATGCCAGGGACACTTACGTGGGTTGACGCCGTAGCCGCCGGTGCGCATCAGCTTCTCGGGCGCGATCTTGTACTGCGAGGCGACCAGCTTGTGGACGGCGTTGTCGTCCTCCAGGAACATCTTCATGCGGATGAAGGGCTCGCGGCCCTTCTGCGTTAGCATGTGCCAGGGCTTTGGCCGCGCCAGCAGGTCCGAGACGGAGCCCTGCGACAGCCCGAGCACGTTCTCGCCGAACAGGCGCTGGCTGATGGAGTACTGCGAGAGGGCCTCCTTGACCTGCGACAGGAACGAGGTGTGCGTTAGCGACCGAGACGGTGGCGGGCGGCCCGCGAAAGGCGGAGGGCAAGCGGCATCGTTACTTCAGATTACCCTTCGCTCACCACGATTCTCACCTTGCGCACGATCTCCTCCGTGTTGAGGTTGTTGTACTGGTCGAACTGCTGCTGGGTGATTGGGGGCAGCACGGCCTTGAGCGGCCTCGGGTTGGTGGTGGTGTGCGACGGCGCCGAGGCCTGCTGCGAGATGAGGCTGTTGGTGATGGACGCCATCCTCTGCAGCGGCGACACGGCCGCCGTGCCGGAGAGGTCGGCGCCGGCCTGGTCGGGCGGCAGGATGGAGTTGCTGAGGGGCGAGGCCGTGGGGGCGCCTGCAAGAGAGACGGAGAGGTCAGCGCGCTGCGGTGGTCGCGGGGCAGTGGTGGAGGCAGACAAGCCGCGGTACTTACCGGGTGCGTCCTTGGGCCTGACGAGGGAGAAGGCGCTAGTGCCGTGCCTCAGGGCCTCGGCCGTGGCCTCGGCCATCTCCTTCTTGAGCCTCTCGGCCCGCTCGGCGCGCTCGGCCCGCTCGGCGCTCGCGTTGTTGGCCTCGGCGGACGCGCTGCGGTCGCCGTCGGCGCCTCGCTCGCGCTCCCGCTCGCCGCCGTTCAGCTCCCGGTCTCGGCCGTCGCGGCTCTCCGACTTCCTCTCCTTGGGCAGAGAAAGATCCTGTGCTTCACCGTTCTGACGGGGCTCCCGTCGCTCCTGTTGCTCTTGCTGCTGCTGTTGTTGCTGCTGTTGTTGCTGCTGCTGTTGCTGCTGCTGCTGCTGCTGCTGCTGTTGCTGCAAGGGAGAGGAAGAAGGAAGGTCGTGGTCAGTGAGATGTTGGGCAGTTAGGCGGGTAGGGATGCCTCAGACAGCCGTCTCCATGCCGTTTAGATTCAGAAAACGTGCAATCACATTTTCACATCCGACTCTTTTATTTCCTTCCAACCTCCAGGAGGAGTAGAGGGAGGCGGCTGGTGAGGGGCAGGTGGGTGAGGAGAGGATAGGGGAGCGGGGTGGAGCGCACAGCAACAGGAGAGCAGGAGCAGGCCGGCAGGGAGCTCGACTTACCATGGCGTGCGCCTGGTGGGCGAGCGCCTGCTGCTGGAGTGCCAGCAGGCCGGGCAGGCCGACGGGCGGGGTGAGGCCCTCCATGGCGGGGGCCATGTTGAGCTTGGCCAGCTCGCGGTGGTACGTGTCGAGGGCGAGCCGGATGTCGTCCTGGGAGCGCGCCGCCAGCGGCAGCCCGCCGGCGCCCTCCATGAAGTGCGGGAAGAGCAGGCCGGGGAAGGGCGGCGGCTGCTGGTCGCCGGGGCCTCGGGCGCCGGGCGCGCCGCCCCGCATGCTCTCCTCCAGGCGCCGGCCCATGATCTTGGCCAGCTCCTCCTGGTAGATCCGGACCACCTTCTCCTGCGGGATGTCGTCGTTCTCATACTTGCGCACCTTCCGGCTCGGCGAGCCGTCCTTTGAGTTCATCGGGGACGCGCTCTGCATCAAAGCATTTATGGATAGGTCAAAATTTATTTTTTGACAGTGACTCGAAATTGACTTTTTCTTTCAGAGAGATAAAATTGTAAACTTTGTGCAGAACTTTTCTTTAAAACTGATTTCTTTCTCTTTTACTTTCGCTTGAAAAGGCCGGGGAAACACTCTAAACCGTCTGGTCGCTACTCACCTCGCCCCGGTTGTCGGCCGGCGACCGCGAGTCCTCGTTGGAGCGCAGGTCGTCGGGGTTGTGCACGCGCATCAGCTGCGAGGCCTCGCTCAGGATGTGCGCGATCCGCTCGTCCGTGATGTCGGGCGTCTCGCTGGCGATGAAGGGCGGCAGGCTGGCCTCCTTGCCTGCGCAGAGACAAGCACCACACACGTCACGTCAAAGCCTTTTTCTCATTTAGCATTTCCATTTCCTGCTTCGTAAAATGTCCCTCCCCCCTCCCTCACTCTATCTCTACTTTTTTCTTTTGTTACTTGACGTTTCATGCTCGCTATTATTGCTATTACAATAATTGTTTTCAAAGCGAGTCGAGGTATCACGCCATCGCCATCCATTCACTTCCCATCTCCTACAGCTGCGCTGATATCCTGGACCGGCTCCCCCCCCCTAAATCACACAGTTTCGGCCCGCCTCGGGATACACATAGCACGCCAACTCCCCCCGCTCCAGCACACTCACACACACACACACATACATACACTCACACAGCGGAGATAACGTCCACAAGTCTGGAGTTGAAAGTCGAGTCTAAGCCGAGGCAGCCCCGGTGATGCCCAATATGAATGCTTGTTGGCTGCGAGTTTGTTGTATTGCTCAGTGAGCAGGGGCGGGGCGGGGTGTGGCGGGGCGTGGCGGAGTGGATTACCGGTCCTGGGACTCCGTATCGTGGTGCTCCGACTGGGCTCGGGCCGGGGCCGGGCTTGGCTGCCGCGCGGGGGAGGCGGCGAAGGGTGGACTGACCGGACAGGATGAGGCGGGGCGGGGCGGGGCAGGGCGGGGCGGGGCGGGGCAGGGCAGGGCGGGGCGGGGCGGCCCATGACATGGTCGCGTGGCGGGCGCGGGCCGCCAAGCTCCCAGTTTGATCGTAATGCGCGAGCACCCGTCCCCCCCGCGCCCCGCCCATCGCCGTTCGGCGCAAGTTCAACGTTCATTAATTCCTGATAAGCCCCAACGCGCTCAGTCAGTACGTCCCTCTCCTCCCCGAACACACATACACACACACACACACACACACGAACGCAGACACCCTCCACGGTCACACAGCGGCGCCTTCCAAACTATTCGACCTACATTAGAAGCTCCAACTGGCGAACAATGGCGATAACCCGACTGCTCCCAGTGGAGCGGCACATCCCGCCCGCCCCTCGCCCGCAGCCCACACCCCCGCGCGCGAGGAAAAAGGAGGGGCGAGCGGAGCGGACGCCAATAAGAAAGAAAGGGCCGGACCGCCAATCGCGTTCGACCTTTCACACTGGGCCGCCCCTGCCGCCCCCGCCCGCCCTCCGCCGCACCCTCCGCGACCCCGCGGGCGCAAATCTCCGCGCCAGTCGCCGCCCCCGATGGGGCTTGCGAGGGTCGCGGGGTCGGCGCCGCCCCCGGGGGCCCCGCGGCGCCCAAACAGGTAGCCGGCCAAACTAACACTGGCTGCGCCGGAGGGGCGTTCGGGTCCATTCACGCCGCCCCTCTCCCGCTCAACAGGATAATTATCAGCGATTAGGAATCCTAATCAATGGACGTGCAGGCGCACGGGGCCCGGGCGGCGCCCCACCCCCCGAGGGGCCTCGTGCCCGCCACGCCGCGCCACGCCGCGCGCCACAAACCTGCTGCTGGCGGCACGGGGACAATACGACGACCCCTTCACTACACAACTTCGCTATTCATTTAAGGCGGTGATAATAAGACAAACAAAAAAATCTCTTTAAAAAAAAGTAAGGGAAGGCTGCAGAAAGGGACTCCGCACCGCCGCTGCTACTGCTGCTGTTGCTCAGTTTGCAAATGATCAGCCGGCCGATGGCACGAGATATCAAAGGGCGCGGGGGGACGGCGCGGCGCCCACGGCGACCGACAAATATTTATTAATTTAACTCCGATGCCAAAAGGGTGGAGCGGCAGCGGCAGCAGCTGATAATAAAAAAAAAATGGCGGGAGAGGGAGGAATAAAGAAATCAGAAAGAATTCGGAACAGAAAACGGCGCGCGCGGACTCGGCAAGTTTCTCGCCGGCAAGGACAATCTCAGCTGCTCCCAATCAGACGGACTGTTTTTTTCCCTCTCTTTTACTCCCTCTATCTTTCGCGCAGGGGCCGACTTTTCTGTTATCAGGAAAAACAAAATGAAATGAGGGAAACTGTTGTTGCTCGGGGTAACGGGGGCAACAGCAGCAGCAAAACGAAGGAGAGCATCACTGTGTGCCTAAAGTGAAGAAACGCGACGCGCGGGGAGCTGAGTTGAGATCGAGTAACAATCAATCGAGATTCAATCCAAGTTGCAAACTCGAACACGTCGACCGCTCTCGCTCGCTCGCTCGCTGGCGCGGCGGGGGGTGTCGACACTAACAACCAGGCGGGGCGGGGCGCGGCGCGTTAAGTTTGCCGCGACGGCATGTGGGGCGTGGCGCGCGCGCCGTCTGTCCTGAGTAATTAAACGTAATTAACAGACGAAAAGCATTAAAATCCGGGCGGCTCGGCGCGGGGGCCCCCACCGGTGAGAGAGCGAGGGGGGCAAAGGCGCGGGCGACATTTTGTGTCACGAGGATCCTTGGCGAGCGGGAGCAGGAGGAGTAGGAGATGGAGGTGGAGCAGGAGGAGAATGGTGGTGGCGGTGCAGCGCAGCGCACGGCGCGGCCATTTAGGCCCCACGGCGCGAGCTGCTTTCCAACTCTGCGGGGTAATGTGGCATAGAGCCGAGCCCGAGCGTGAGCCAGAGAATATGGATAATTGTTGCAGCAAGTGCAAGTTGGTAGTTCGTCTCAGCTCGTTCCGACTCGACAGCATAGAGAGAGATCTAGATCCCCCGCTGCTGCCACGCCCCGCCACGCCGCGCCGCGCACCAGCCTACTTTTCAGTTGTTTTCTGCTTCCCCGCAGCAGACGACGACGACGACACATGCGCGCCTCGCCATTCAATAGCCATTGTTCGTCCTCGAGTCAGCGCGATTTGTAGCGCCTCGGGAGCTTAAACTGGCCGCGTCGCGTCGCGCTGTGCGGCCCTTGACACGGATACAACGCGCCGCCCGCCCCCGGCCCGGCGGCCCCGGTTACCCCGAGGCGGGCCGAGTCCGCCCGGAGGTAGGCAACCCAGCCGGCCTGAGCGCGCCGGCGCTCGACGGGACGGCCCGCCCGCCGGGCGCCATGAGGTGGAGCGGGAGGGAGTGAGGAAGGGACACGGTTAGGGTTAGCTTGGCCACGCGGCGCGTTAGCCAGCGTCGTGGCCAGCGTTAGCTAGGCACCCCGTTAATATACACTCTCTCTCCGCATCGCTTTAATTTTACCGTCATTATTGTTATTATTGCTGTTATTAAACCAAGCTGCAGCGGGTTAATTCGTGTTAGGTATGGAGGATGACGACGACCGGACATGATTTTGAACAGGGAAAAGAGATAAATTAGGAGGAGGGCAGGAGAAATAATAAAAAATAAAAAGCGAGCGAGCGAAGGGGTTAATAGAACTGCGCGCATGCTCTGCTGCTGCGGCGATACATCCCGGGGGCCAGCGAGGACCAGAGCGCGGACGGGGACCACCCGCGGGGGCGGCCGGGGCGATAGAGACACATTGGAACAGGTGAGGCGCCGCAGCGCGCGGCCAGGGAGGGAGGGAGGGGGAGGGAAGGTGCCGCCATGAAGAGAGGCCAATTATGTTGCTTTATGATTTCATAATTAGAAACAATACTCGGCACTTGAAACCGTTTTACGATGGCTTTATTGCGGGACGATTCTTCTCTATACCCGACCCGCGCGCGCGCCGGTACGCTATTGCGATAGGGAAAAGGGGGGGGGGGTTCTCCTGTAGGAGAGAAACTTTTTCTCCCTCTCTGACTCTTTTGATTCCCCACTGATCCTGCTGCTGCTGCTGCTATGCCTTTCGGAAGGGTGAAATGATTGTTGAGATGGACTTATGCCTTTAGAGATTCCCTATGCGGGCTCGCTCTCTCTCTCTCTCTACATGAGAGCCTTTGGCAAACATTAAGTCTCCAAACAGACAGGAACAAACAAAAAAAGTATCGCGATTTGGCATTCTTTTGGGAAGGTGGTGATGGCCGCGGGGGAGTGGCTTGGACAAGGAAAGAGGCTTTGTGGAGGGGAAGGGGTGAGGCCTGGGCCCGGCCTGGGGCCGCGAGGGAGAAGGGGTTAAAAGGCCAACGAAAGGGCCCCGGAGATTGAGACGTAATTAGCAAAGGAAAAAAAGGTCGGACTTCACAAAAAATAAAAATAAAAATTGGATCTGCTTTACAACATATAGAAAGTTTCCTCCGACGACAAAGGAGGAGCGGGGGATATACACAAGAACGAGAGGGGGACGAAATAAAGGAAATACGCGAAACTCTGGAGAGAGAGAGAACACGGGCACGGGGCTCATACGCGAGCGCGGGAAATAGTATCGGGCGGGGAAGAGGAGTGGGGCCGACTCGCAAAAGCAGCATCGATGGTCAAAACTGGAGCCGCCGGTAGAAAACAAGGGCACTCCGCACATAAAGGCGCTATCCGTCATAAAACATGCCGCTCACACACACACACTCTCACAAAAACCACTTCCCTTGCACGAGACGTGATACCTGATGTCTGCTACTTCTACGCTATCTACTTTAAAACAACCACTCTGAAAGTCTGATCCCCACAAAATCGACGACATTCCCGACATTGTGACATGTCTTCGAAAGTAAGTGACGAAAAGGGAGATGAAATGACGGGTTAGTAAAAAAAAAAAAAGTTTTAGCATTTCTCAATTCAAAAGCATGGGGGAGAGAATTTAGATTTTTTTTTAAAACTGTCACCAGATATAGTGTTAGTTTAGCGGAATGCTGTCATTTTGTGGGTCGACAGGCTGGCGGTGGTTCTGGATGTTGGGCTTGCGATGTACTTACACTTACCCTTCTTGGGGATGAGCGATTTGAGCAGCATGACGGAGTGCTCGTCGCAGGCCCAGGCGTGCATCTTGCGGTACGAGTCGCGGCCCTTCTCCGTCAGCTTGTCCCAGGGCTTGGGCTTGGACAGCAGCTCGCTGACGGTGCCTTGCGACAGCCCCAGCACGTACTTGGCGAACAGCCGCTGCCCGATGTTGTGGATGGACAGGAGCTCGCGCACGCGCCGCGAGATGTTGAGCGTGTCGAGGTTCTGGTTGGCGTACTTGTCCATGTTGTAGCGCAGCATCTCCTGCAGGCGCGCCTCCATCGGGTCGCCCTTGGGGATGAGCGACTCGCCCAGCCGGCCCATCATCACGCCGTTGGGCGTGAGGCTGCGGTCCTCGGAGAAGCGGAACGGCGACCGCTGCTCGTCGAAGCGGAAGGGGCTCTTGAGGGCGTCCGACTCGCGCAGCAGGTTGCT